ATTAAAGCGGGATTCGTCAGAAAACACGACATGCTGATTGGCCCATTGTAGCCGCAGGCGGCAATGGTTTAGCGTGATGGTGATCTTGTATAAAGGAGTCCTTGCACGCAGTCCACGCTGCATTTGACGTCTACGAATTAATGAAGCACACAAGGAAACACCTGTAGCTATTGACCACTGTGCTGCCAGTTGTTTAGAGGGAGCCGTACGGCCTATCATCGCGAGCTAACGTGACATTTCGGGGTCCACTGCTTCCAAAGACGCATCCCTGTGCAGCGGCTACTGCACGATGCTCAATCCAGCTTCACGAAGGCTGATGATTCTCCCCATTTCTAACTCCGTAAGTTGTTGAAATCTCGCTCTCTTTCGTCGATTAGTTGTTGTTAATTTACGTCGCACTAGAGCTGCACAATGGGCTATTGGCGACGGTCTGGGAAACATCCCGGAGGATGATCCGAAGACATGCCATCACAATTTTGATCCTCTGCGGAGGGGATGGCACCCCCGCTTCGGTAGCACAGTTTAACGAGGACCAATACCGCACACCCTCGGTCCCTACGCAGTCTCTTTCGTCGAAGAGGCATAAGTAACGTCTGAGCTAACGTTTACCACAAGCAGATAACCATACACGCCTCGCTACAGCCGTCTAATCATTTGCATATTATGCTCTACTTTGCATTTCCTGAAAATTTCAGCTCACTCGCATAAGTCCTTCATGGTGTTGCAATTTTCACAAATAATGAGTCTATATCATACTCAGGATTCCCCCCCCCCAAAAAAAAATGCTGCTTATAATAGGCCCTATAAAATGTTTAATTTGCAAATGATAATAACCATTTGCCGACAAATTGGGATGTCCCCGCTTGGCAAATAGTTGAAGCTGTTAAATAAGGCGCAATTCGTTCGGTCGGCAGTGTTAAAAACTTTTTATCAAGGAAGAAATTAACAGAATTTTAACTTCTGGTGTTCCGATTTGCGCCTGTTTATAAGTTCATCAAATGAATTTCATTACAATACAATCTCAGATAATTTGCAGACAAATAAGACAATAACCAGAAAAATTAATATGGTTTTTTTCAGTATGGATTTATTTTAATAGAAAATTTTTTAATGAATAAAACAAAAAAAATTTTTCATCTTGTCTACAATTTTTACCCGTTCTCTTTTTCTGATAGCAATTTTTTTCACCATTTTTTTTCTCCAAAAAAACTGAGGTGGGAAATAATCTGCAGGTGCTGTGATAGTCTGTAGCGCCCGCCTGAGGGTTTCTGCAACTGGGTCTTTGATCAACTATAGCAGTGGAAAAAAGGAGCAAGTCAACATTTCAGCACTATTTTCTGTCATTAAAAATAGCATATAAAACTATGGCTGACGGTAAAAAACTGTTTAAAAGTATAAAAAAATTTTTTCTAAAAAAATATATTTGATTCCTTGAATATTTCTTATGAAACATTTAAGGAAATATGTTGCAAAAAGAAATGGTTAACCAACATAGTATAAATCAAAAGTAATAAGGACAAACCACAAGTCATTTAATTGAACTTGATTTTTTTGTTGTTGTTTCAAGCAGTCTCAAGAGTAGTAAAAAAGGAAGTGCACAAGGGTCGTTTGTCTGTCGCCCAGCAGATTCTTATCAAACTCAATATCAATAATCATCAATCAATATAAAACTAGCCATACATTTTAGTTATTTCTGCAATCATGAACACAAAAAAAAATTTAATTATCTATTAAATGATGAGGGCCACTTCAAAAATCATAAGAACGGACAATTTTTTTTTAAGAAGGACCTTTAAATATCACTCAGTAGTAGCTACAGGAGTATTAGCAATATACTAAAGCGATAAAAGTAGAACATAATTAAGACAAAAAAAAAAGAAAAGAATTGGTGAATAAGACTGCTAATGTATCAAATTATTTATTAGTCAGGTTCCCTTATTTAAAGGCTTGCATTTTATTTAGAAAGCTAGGATTAAGACTTAGAGATAAAAAAAAGGGAATTTTAAAACATCAATTAGGTAATATTTTTTGTGCTTTTTGTAGTTTCAAATTAACGTTATTCTGTCATTAATAAACCAGACATTCTCACGATAAGCTCAGTCCAATATACAACAAGTGATTGTTGGAAGAAATTATCAGAAATTCCCCCCCCCCCNCCCCCCCCCCCAATGTGTAGTTTTTTAGTACTTTTTCAAGCGAACGATCTCTTAAATGTTAGTCATTCCGGAATTACTTTTTAGATTATCAATTGTATAGTTTTGTGTTTGACTAAGTAGTTCATTAATTCTTTGGCGAAGTAACGAAATTAAAATTTTGGGGAATCTCGGGAAAATTTTGTCAGAATTCCGCGAATTAGTTGAAGAATCATATGCCTGAACATATCAGCCAGGATTAGGGAGATCATTCACTAAGCTGAAAAACTAGATTAGTGAATTATGACAAGAGTGTTCAATTCCTAATTGTTATTCTACAATCCTAAATTATTATTTTTATAATTTTCTGGTGACCGAGTATGCTGTGAAATAATTTTTACTGTAATATAAAAATTTAAAATATATATTAAGTTAAAAAAAAAAAAAAATCAATTTTCCTGATTAGACAAAAATCTATCACGAGGACAGAAGAATGGCAACTCAGAAAAACTAAACATAAATGAAATTTATAAATTAACCTTCGAAGCAAGGTAAACTATTATTACAACTACAAAGCTTTAAGATTAAGCTAATAAATAAAATATCACTAAAGATGAATTATATTTATTTTTAAAAAATATAAGAAACCTATTAGGAGGGGGAAAAAAGCACAAATAATATATCAACCTGCCATATGTAGGTATGATCATTGTATACACTGGCAGTAGTTCAATGGACAAACAAGTCTTAATTCTTTGCTTTCAGATTGAGGAAACATATCAATATGCAGCCCAAAGCAGAAATCTTATTTATTCATGTAAGTAACCTTTGGTCCTGTGCACACAAACATTCAATGAAAATTCATCACAAGTCTAGAAAATGTCATAAAACATAATGAATGATAAAGTAATGAAGTATAATCTTTCAGTTTAATTCATTCAAAAAATTTAATTACTAACGTAATTAATATAAGCATTTTAAAAACTGAACACACATACAAATTCATATAAAACATTTGATACAAATGTTATTTAAATAAATGATACAATAGTGATATTATAATATGATCCAACAGATAGAAATGAACATTAAATATTTGTTTGAACAATCAATTTCCTTCAGATAACAGTAAAAGTAATTTATTATAATAAAAGTGACAAAACACTTGCTATACACTTTTTTTATACAACAGATTTCCTTATTTGTCAGATGAAACATATTTACATAATCTAAATTAAATGCTTAGTTATAAATAAGGAAAAATTAAATTGCTAGTAAACATAAGTTTCAACAATAAATAAGCTAAAAACATGTTCAATAAAATTATAATAGGACAAATAACTAACAACTAAGAAATAATTAAAATTTGTATCTTTAGAAATATATAATATTGGAGAACATTGAAGCAGAAAAATTCATTTGGAAAGCTTTGTTGAAGATATAACTTTCTAAAATAATCTTATATCACATTCAATACACTTCAGATTAAAGAGAGAAAAAAAAAATACTCATTTTTCTGTGAAAGTCAATGATTATAAATTAATCAGCTTATCCATTAAATATAATTCTTGAAATAAATTGATAATCGTAACCATTGAAAATAACTGTATCATTAAAATTATATGAAGCATGAAATCAATATATGAATAATGAATTCAATTGAATATTTGCAATCCAAATCAACTGTGAATACTTGACAGATTTGAAGAATTCTACGATTTTCCAGGCATAGTATGCAAGACCTCTACTTATAACAAGTTAAAAGAGAAACTTCATAATAAATTGCATAGATGGCTTTTTACCCAAGCCCTTTTTTGGTGTTTTGTTACAATATTGGTAACAAAATACAACTTTTTAGATTTAAAGGGGGAAAAAAAAAGAAAGAGTGAAATACAACAAAACTTAGCCAACTGAAGGTTAAAATATAACACTTGATTTACTTGCTTAGAAAAATGAACTTTAACTTAGGCGACTACAAAATATAGGAAAAAATTAATACATGCCATTAAAAAAATTAAAAGTTTTCGAAAAAGGTAACCCCTTTTTTAAATAAACAGTTTACTTAATGGGTTCAGAGAAAGAGGCAAATAAAATCTTTCAGGCCAATTTGTGAAAATTGCATTTAATAAACCATTGATGGAAATATACTAGAGATCACTACTAGCACATAAAGGTATATATAAAATGAATTTGAATTAAATATTTTAAACACTAGGAGCAGTACAGTAATTCATCACAGGTTCAGAAATATTGCTGCTTTCTGATTTTTAAAAACTGTTATAAGAACATAAATGGAACTGACAATTGTAGCAAAATACATCAATAAATAGTAAGTATGCATTGCTATTGTTTTAATGTAATTAAATTTTTACAAACACAATTTTTGTTTTAATTGCAGACTAGACAGACAAATGTTTTTCATTATCTATTTCAATCAAAACAAATTATAGTTAAAATACTTATGTTTCCATTTATATATATATAAAAAAAGTTTTATAACACTAGTTAAACAAGGCTTAAAATGTCAAATTTTTAAAGAGTACAAAGAGCAGAAATTTTTTACAAAATGATATTACAGCATTGATAAATAGAAATTAACATAATGAGCTAATGCTAAAAACTTGTGTTACACATTTACTATTTTCAAATGAAAATATATAACAGAAGTAGGTGTTCTACTGCATTTTCAAGTCTTGGATGTCAAGGCAATAGCTGCATGATCTGTCAATGTGTTAACTAGCAGTTCACAAATTATTATTGCCTTTTCTCTGGGTTGCTTGCTCAAAACATTCTTTAAGACCCTGATGCAATTGAAACAAAATTTTATTGAACTACTGGTCTTTGCTGAAAAAAATTTCCTGATTCAACTGTAACATTTTAAAATTTTTTGTTACTTGACCAGCTTGATAGTTTGACTTCGAACTATTTCTGAATTATCTCAAAGTAGATACTCTGTTTAATGGCGGTGGTGGAGACATACTAGGGGGATAGCTAGATAAAAACCTGATTATGTGTTCATATTCAAGCACTCAGTGACAATTTTATGTAAATGTACTGATTAAACAATGGTTTCCTAGTTTCTAACTAAGGGATGCAAATGTTTCAAATTACATATCAGCATTTATCAAGTAATTGCACACATGGAGTTATCTGTTGTCCTTTTTTTCTTCATCCATATTTGTTGTTTGTCTTTTCTCAAAATAAATGGACAAACTTTAATTATCATTTTTTGAAAGTAATTGCAATTGTATTATTTCATTACAAGTTACAAACAAATCTTCCTGATATAGACTTATGTTTCATGATCTACTTAGTTATGTTTTTCGATACATAAATATTTTGAAATTGCAAAAAACTTGGGAATTACTAATATAAGACATACATTAAAATGCATTTGTATCATATTATATAAATTTAAAATATATAATCAAAAGAGCTTAAAAAAAAAAGAATTTTACAAATCTGCTGATAATACTTCGAAACATTTAGAGCTTTTCAGTAATATTTCAGATGATTATAGACACCAATATTTATAAGATCAAAACTCTGCAGCAGACGTTGCTTCAAAAGTGACAGTTAAAAATTCTTCTCTAGCCCATAGTTGAAAAAACGCCTATTAATTCTTCATAAGTGAAGAAAGAAAATAGCACACATGACCAGCCAAAAGAGAAGTTTCTTAGATAAGCAACTATTATCTAACCTAAATGACCTCATGCTACAGTTGAATTGCAGAAACAGTCTACGACTGCTGGAGCAGTACGAAAGATATGAGCAAAGGAGCGTGTTTTAGTTGCATCAGGGTATAAGTAAAGTCACAATAAAACAATACTTAGAAAATATAATATTTATTTTATTGATTTGGTGCAAAATAGTGGAAGGTAACTTTTCCAACAAAAGAGACTTTTCACCTAAGAATTCTTTAGTATTGTATTCAGATTGGCAATAAGTTTTCAGAATTTCCACAAAACACTCAAAAAGCAATTCGAAAATATAGCTTGTTGTATTGACTCAACCTTCCATTTGTAATGCTTCACACATTCCTAAGAAGCTCTGCCTACAAAGTATACTGTAGTACACAATTTCAAAATCCTTGAGTAGACACTTTTTATATTGGGAATTCAATTAATCGCAGTTATACTCTTAAGAAAATAAGGCAGTATGTTTAAAAATAAATTACTTTTTTTCTGGGGATTCAGAAAAGATAGATTTTCATAGAATTAGACTGAGTAAACAAATTAAACAATGTGGCTGCCAGTTTACCTTTTGACATGCTCCCGATAATATAAGAATCCTATAATGAATTGATAGGGTTAACAACGTATCTCAAAACTCCACTTATAGACAGCATACTTTTAATAAAAGTTAAGGATTTTTTCTTGTTTCTTAAAACATTGTTGCTGTTAAAATATTGCCTAGTATTTGTTAGAGCAATATGTTACCTATTAAATACAAAAGCTATCAGAGTAGGTCGGATTTGGGTGATTTAAAGGTTCAAAGCTAAAATACAGTACATCCCAAAACAAAGTTGAATGTAGTACTGGTTTCAAACCATTTCGAAACTGGCACATTAATTTTTTAAAAATGATTTATATAATTTATTTGGGATTCAAATTTTTAGGATATATATTTCAAATTTTCCTATCTTAAAGACTGATATCTGAACCAGTTGAATCAGAGCACTGGTTAAATTCTAGAGCAATAAATCATTTTACAATAACATTTGTGACAACACTAGAAATAATACTGAACATTTTGAAGTCACTGCAATAGGCTTTTATTGATACCTGGAGTAATTCTGTTATTTTTTTCAGCATCACTTATAGCTGTGTGCATAAATAACTTATAGTTCATAAGCTAAAAATTTTAACAGAACAAAAGTCTTGCAATTTTAAATAAAATTCATTTGGAGATACTTGTAAAATGAGTAAAATAACAGTACGTGCAATATGATTAATTGGTAAATTTTTTTTATGTAACTATATAAACAAAGATAAATTTGTTTGCTTTATGTAAAATAAAAAACACAAATTGTATAACTATCAATTAAAAATGAAACTAAAAATATAGATAGTTTAAATAAATAAAAAAAAAGCTAGCACTAACAAATTTGTTAAAATTGGAAAATTCTAAATGTAAAAGACAAGTTCTGAAAAAGGTAATTATTCTGGTCATTCAGGATGTTATATGAAGGTTATTAAATATTGTCAAAAATATTTAAATATGAAGGCATATAGATGTTTTTTAATTTAGCAGTATTGAAACAGCATAAATGTCAGGAATAATATGCAGGCAGCACTATTAAGGACATTATCAGCAAAAGGAAAAATACTGTAAAAAATTCGAAAACTCACCATTAAAACTTATCATTTTCAGCAAACACTTAAACTTTTTTCAAAGGTTTCAAATAGTGTGCAGTAATCCTTAAAATTTAAATTTTTTTTTTTTTAAAAGTAAAACATGCCTGGCCAAAAATTAGTTTAAAAACTAGTTTTAAACATCCAAAAACCAGATCTCTAATTCAGATAATTTTGACTACTATAAACCAACATATCTTTTTGAAATACTAACAGCCAACTAATAATAACTACAGGCACAGTGTGTTATAAATAGGAAGTATTAAATGAATGGAAAAAAAAGCACAATTTAAGATTTTCTATATGAAGTCTCAATAAATCAAAGTTATTAATAAAGAGAACAAAAGCAATTTAACAATATGAGATTTAAAGAATAGAATGTAATCGTAAAATATTTTAAAATTATTTGTACCAAAACATCAATGACAAAATAGAACTTTTCCTGATATTTCAATTTCCTACTCATGTATAAAGGCAAATACATGGCACTTTAATATGCATAGTCAGCCATAATGAATTGAAGTTTTTTGCTCCCAGAAAATTAGGAAAGTAAACAATCAAGTAGTCTGACTTTTCTTTAAAATACATTTTTTATAGATATGTAAATTGAAAAGTAAGAATGCAGACTATTTACTTTTGTAAGTGATAATACCAATTTTCCTTCGCAAAAAGGTTGATTTTATAGCTTGCAAAACTACAATGCACAACTAAAGGTTTTTACAAAAATTAAGACCTTACTTAATTAAAAAAAAGAAAGAAAAAAAACTTAATGCTTAATAATGGTGAGGACTGGGTATTCAAATAAAAGTTAATTGAATTAAAAAAAAATCCCAACTATATGTGACTAGAATAAAAGAAATTTAAAAAATTTAATACATCTGAAATACAATTGACTAATAAATATATCCATAGAATTCATTTTAAAATATAATTTTTCTTTTAAAGCAACAGAAATTTACATAGTTTAAGAAATGAAAAATATAATTCTAAATTAACCAGAAAAAAATTAAATAAATTTGAATGAAAGTAATTTTTAAGATTATAAATGTATAAAAAATTCCCTGAAATTCAGATCAGAGGAAATTTATAAGTAAAGACAGATGATTCCTAAATGAAGTAACAGGGAAATTAACAGGGTTGGCATGATTAAAATAACCTGATTTTTTTTTCTTTCAAAATCATTTCTGTCCAAAATAGTTTTTATGCCACTTAATTTATAAATATATTAGTTAAATTGTGGATTTTTTAATTCTATGTTTGATTTCATTGATGGAAATTTTTTTTTAATGATAAAAGTGATAATTTAAAATTATAAATTTTTATTAACTTTAAATTGCTGTTTAATAAACATATTTCAATTATAATCTTTCAGTTTTGTTTATTTAAATTAAAGCACTTTTTAAACACTAAATATTCATTTTTTTCTATTAAAAAATGAAAGATTCTGTAAAGAATAATTGATTTCTTTATCTAAACTACTATATTCTTTAATATCTGACTGACAAATTGGGTCTTTACAAATTCATTAGGGTGCTGATGAGCTTGAATAAAACTTATGGACTGCATTTATTCAGAGCAATTCATTTGCAAGATTTAAATAATAATTTTAACCACTTTAGTTAGAATTAATAATTGTCCTAGGTATAATATTAATACATTTTACCAGAGCTTAGAAGGCAAATATATATAAAAAAATCTAGATTCAAATAAGTAAAAAAAATCTTGATTAAAAAAAAATTTATACCAACCCCGGATTAAGTCTAATGGATGGTTAATAGATAATAACCAAGATTCTTAAAACTAAATGAAGTTTTGTGAAACATCCTCTAAACATTCGGTAGAATAAGTTTTTCTCTGAGCAGATTTTACAAGATATTATTAGTTCGGTTAACTTAATCATGTCTTAAATTATAAACAGAACTGAAAAAAAAAAAAAAATTACAATTAATCAAAGAAACGAGTTACTATGTTTCAGATGTAATTGCTTAATTAAGCTATTTATTCCGGATTATTATTTATTTTTTTAACTCTGTCGTTTGAAATTTTAAAACAGACTTCATAAGGCAATAAATCTGCATAAATTAATCAATTCCTAATAATTTGAATTCTGGCTTTGATGTAAACTTGATACCAGAAATGTTAATCCAAATTTTTTTTTTGCTCAGCTTTATTTGGTTAACCATCCATTAAGTTAAACAGATAAGAATGTCAGAGAAAAAATATATTTTTAATTCAGACAGTTTAACAAATCATTTAATTTCAATTGCCATCACCACTTAAAAAGATAGAAAAATTAGAATCTATGTTTTCAAACATAAAGGACATAGTAGTTCGAAAGTGGAATGACAAATAACAATGCATAACTCACTTCATAAAAATAACATTTAAGAAGAAAAATATAGTTTAATGTTGATAAGGAAACATTTAACTTAAACCAGTTAAAAGATATTGTAGAAAAAAAAAGGAAGGCAAAATGTGCTGTACTGCAACTGTAACAAAAAATATAGATATAAAAATTAATTTTAGATATCACATCATTAAACCATATGAAATATATACTCTTTATCAGAAAGGTTCCTTTATATGGTATTAAAAAAGGAAATCAATTCCTTGACTTCACCATAGAACAATTCATTATCTAATCAGTATTTACATAAGGCATTACTTGAAAGCTTTCCCCTAGGTAAGATCTTTGTTCACTGCATTCAACCCAAGACTTCCAATTACCATGACAATCATAAATACCGTTCACAAACTCCCAGGAATTTTGCAACTTATTTAAATCATCTGTCACAGACACAGATTGGCTTGGTGAAGAATAGGCCTCTTCAAGATCAATTTCAGCTAGATTAATTGGAGGCAAAGCTGAAAGTATGCTTTTAATTTCCTCATCAACTGGATCTGGAAAAGAAATGCGTGAGGAAACTTCCAAGTTAGTATTTATCACAGAAGGAACATCTGAAACAAGATGTGAATTGTAGTCACTTAAATTTGATATACTAGAATCATTTATTGGGCTCACATTGTTTTCATTCCTAGCTGATTGAATCAAAAACTTTTTTAACAACTCAGATTTTGTTCGTGACATTTCAGCTTCAGAACAGTTAAGAGAGTCAATTGAGGTTAGACTATTAGGAGAGAGTACAGTATTTAAACCTTTTTTTGCTTGCAAGTCAGCAATTAATTGCTGAGTTGTTTTTACTTTAGGATGTTTTGAGCCTGAAGGAAGGGAAGCTAAGACATCTCCTAACTTGTTTTCATGAAGCTCATTTTTATCAAAGCTCCTTTTTCGCTTTGTAGTTTTTAAGTTTGTAGTTAGAGATTTTTCACTTGTAACACAATTGGAATTGCTAACAGAAGAATTAATTATAATGGAACTTTCACTAGGTGACACATTTTCATTAACCTCGCTCATACCATTTCCAATAGGAGAATCATCAAGAGTGATCACTTCTATTATTTCAGGAGATGAACAATTGCTATAAGAGTTTTCTTTCCGTAGGCGTTTATTAGCAGCATTAGTTTTAGCAATGTCCAAGCTGGAATGGGCATTTGTAGAAGCCAATATTGGCGACATATTTTGTGATACACTGATGGAAGGACTAATAGAGCTAGAATTACTCTTACGCCCAGGACTAACATTGGATGAACTTTTCTGTAAAGCAGTACATATTCCACTAGATGTTATATTGCTACTTTCCTTAAGATCTGATGGACTAAGAGGTGCAAAGACTTGCATATTTTTACTTTGATTGCTTACAATTAGTAAGTTTTTATTAATAATAGAGTTTGAATCTGTTCGGATATTTAGTTGACAACCAACTTTAAGGGGTGCATAGTTAGATGGCATAGATGATAAATTTGATCCCTGAAACACAGCAGAATTTAATAGTGGGCTATTTGAGGCACTAGAGAAATAGGGACTAGAAGAACGTTCAATTATGATCGATGGACTTGAGGTTTTATACCTTGGCGTACCAGGCACTGATGCACATATTTTTATAGTTCTATTTCCCGGTCCAGGTCCAGGACCAAAACCTGGACCAGGTCCTGGTCCTAATACAGTCATGCTTCCAGGAGATGAAATACTGTTATGTGTATCTTCACCATTTATTCGTTCTTGTGTTTGTGGAAGAAGTTTCCTCCAGCTTTTCACAAGATCTTTTGCTCGCCGTGCTAATTGTTCGTTATTAGTCCTTTTTCTCAATTCATTTATGTATCTACCAATCCTGGTTCTCTGTAACAATAAAAAAAAGCAAACATATTAAAAAAAAACCAATAAGTCCAATTTTGACACACAAGTGATACAGAATCAAATCTTAGTCAAAGACAGTTGAAAGTATACACTAATATCAGATAAATTTTAAAAAGCAATTCACACATGCTTTATAAAGAGGTGTTTAAGGGTGGTGCACTAAATGTTAATATCTTGAAAATAAATTAATGTGCAAAAATGATTTTTCTAAATATCAGTTAAGAAAAATTCACAAGTTGATTATACTTTTTTTTTTTATAAAACTTTGTTAGTTATTTTTAATATATAGTACACCCACGAACTTTAAATAGAAAAAAAATCTAAAAGAATTTAGATACATTACACTTATAAATAACAATCAATCTAATCACACTTTCTTTAGACATCATTAAAGATATTTAAATTGAAATATAACCATTTAACATCAGTTAAAAATTCAATTAGTCATATGTTATGCAACATACAATTAAGATTTTATAGCTAAAACTCTTAAATGAGATCCATCGTAATTTCAAGAAACAAATTTCAGACTGAACCAATAGACAGGACAAATATAACGAATAACTCTTTTCTCTGTTGACCTCTTAGATTGCCAAAAACTTTTTAGCTTCAGTTCAGATATTTTTATCCCTTTTTGACGCAGAAAAAACAGAATACAATTTTTTAATTCAGCAAGCTATTTTAGTTTTTAGAGAATAATAAAGTCCGTCTGATTTATTGAATAAAATTAAATTTTCGAACAAGCACAGTCTAAAAAAAGCACTAGAAAATAGGTAATTTTAGAATTAATTTTCTTGGATAATACTTTTTAACTAAAAGATCAAAGCACAGAAAAAAAAAATTTAAAAATATTTTTTAATTACAAATATGCCCTAAACAGGTTTTAAAAGGGATCCCAAGATCCATCAGTAGTTATTCTATGAACAGAAAAAAGTAGGTATACACAAGAAGCAATACACATTTTAATAAATTTTTTTCAAAAATTATATTTTTTTGATCATTACATTTGTGCACTTTTCAGGTATTTTTTTACTTCAAAAATTCAAAATCATTGCTCCATTAAAAAAACTTTTTCTTACAGGTCACTTATATGGATATATTAATTGTACTTTTTACAACATGAATTAAGCTCAATTTGATTTAAATTTTAAATATTTATTTAAGGAGCAACAAAATTAATGTCATTTAACATTTTCTATAACTTTTGATACTGAATTAATAAAACACTAAAAGAGGGAAAGATATTTAAAACAAATAAAAAATTTTTATCTTAGGAATTGCTGTAGGCAAGAAGTATTATTCTATAGAAGCAGTCAAAAGGGCATTTACATGACAAAAAACCCTTTAGAGCTTCTACTTTGCCAGTTTATGCTAAGTTCCAAACTTCAAACAACTTGCACAATTCTTCCTATTTTGCTTTTACTTTTATTTCAAATTTTTTGGAAGTGCTACAAGATTCCTTCTTACTGTAAATAGAATTGCAACACATTTTCACAAATGATTCAGGAAAATTTGAATAATTACAAGCTAAATTTTAGCTATACACAGAAATTTTTCGTCAGAAATACACATAATTCATGGGTAAATACAGGTTTTGACAGATAATTAAGTGATAGTGTTCTGGCAGTGGAAGGTAATTTTTTAAATTTTTTTTATACCACAACCATTCTGTGAAAAAAGTATTAAACATGTAATTAATGGGTTATTACTCTATGCATAATTAATAGGTTAATACAGGTTTTGACAGTTAATTAGGAGATAGTGTTGCGGAAAGTCATTTTTTGAATTATTTTTTCTTTAAAACATCACAATCTTGTGGAAAAAATTAATTTTTTAAAAATCCCTGTGTAACAAAAAGTACATTAATATTAAAGGCATAAATAGCATCCCCGCAACTTTCGGTGCATGAGGGTGTATGCTGTAGAAAATATAAAAATGAATAATTCTTTTTTAAAAAAAAATTTAAAAGGGATTTATTTTAATTCACTTTACAAATAATATTAACCCTTAAATTAAATATAATCATTGTAAGACATTGAGTTATTTTCTTAAATTATTATTATAAATTTCATTTCAATGCAATAAGTCCATAAGTGTATGTACGATGTTTAGATTTAGTACCTTTTCTAAATTCCGTGTTTCCATTGCAATTATTTTCAAATGTAAAGGTAGGTAGAGGGGACATAGACATATTTAGGATAGAATGTGCACGCGATAAAGGCAAATTAAAGCACTAGCTTGTAAAGCAGTATGAATCAAAGGAAACTGAAAAGACAAGTAAAGATAAAAGAAAATTCGATTCCCTTCCAGCATACCTCCCATCAGGGATCTCTTCCCCAACAACGCATCATTTATTTTTCAGCAGGATTCAGCTCCATGCCACACAGCAAAAGTATGCAAAGCATGGTTTCAAAATAAAGGCATAGATATATTACCATGGCCAGGAAGCAGCCCTGATCTCAATCCAATTGAAAATTTGCGGCGACGTTTGAAAATTCTTGTATGAAAAAAACGTCCAATAAAAGACAGCTTATTGAAGCTATAATTGATTCTTGGCACCATGTGATTACGAAAGATGAACTCCAAACACTCGTTCACTCGATGAAAAGAAGCCGTCTTAAAAAATAAGGGTTATCCTACTAAGTATTGATTGTGTAAGTATGACTTTACTGTATTTATCATTAAATTACCTTCAATTTGATATATAAACGTTTGTATTTAAGTGAAAATTATTATATTCTACAAGCACACAAAGTTGAAAAACATGAAACTTTCAAAAAATGTCCACACTTTTGGCCACCACTGTATAGATAAATAAAATTCTAAGTTTACAAACAAATTTATTGAATCCAAATATGATTAAATTAAAAACTGGTGTTTGAAGCAATGTTTGAAATCTAAGTTGGTTAGCTGATTCTTGACCACTAAAAAATTTTGTAAAAAATTCAGACTACAAGAAAGAAGACTATGGGTGAAAAACATGCTCACAAAAGCTGATTGGGAGAAAAAACAATTTTGCACATGGAAAGGAAAAGTTTTTTGCACAGTACAATACATTTTTACTGCATAGTAACTAGACAGTGGATATGTGCAATTGTATATTTTAGCACTCTCTGCCGTTCATGCATATAAATGAATATTTGTAGCATTTAATGTTTCCCCCCCTAAGACCAAACCTATCACTATTCTATTTATTCTAGTATAAGGATAGGACATTTTCTATTTTATTTTGGCGTCCTTATCACCTGAAAGGGTTAACTTGTTCGAGCCTGGCTCGGGTTGGTTGCAATCACACGAAAAAGACCAAGAAATGAGATGTGTGTCAGAGGGCCCATTTCAACTAGACATTCTTCTGTTCAGAACCTCAGAAAGGGATGGCCAGGTGTTCTACAAGCTGACACCTTTGTGACGAATAAATAAAGTTGTTAGGGAGAGAAAGACATTTCCTTTGACCGATTAGTTAATAGGTAGATTTAATAGATATTCAGAAATAGCTGCTATCCTAATACACTGAGGCCTTGTTACTTTGATAGATAAGATTGAATAAGTTGCGTAGTTAGTGAAGCTTCAAACGTATGATTTTTGACTGCTGAACTTTATGATGTGCTGAAAATTAAGTTGGCTAAATCAACTTTAATGAAGATACAGACTATGGGAAAACCCTGGGGGGTAATGCCTGCCGCCTCCACGTGGTGCTCCCTGGATACCCCTGACTGGGTAACTAAATGACAGGCAAACAAACATGATGAGCACAAATAAACCTTATGATACGGCATCATCTGTCGCACCTGTTAAAAAGGGATGCGTTCAGGAATTAGGCAGAGGTTCCTGTTCGAAAAATTCTTTACAGTCTCCAGTAGTACATGGTAAGCCCTTGGGTGAGCCCAGTGTTAATACCGCTGCTTTGCAGTCTACTTTGAAAGCCGGTGAGGAGTCCAAAGGCACAGGCCCTTCCTCTGTAGGAGTCTGGTCCCCAGAGGTACTCGGGGGACAGTGTGTCTGACGCTACTTGATTGTCCCAAAAGCCGGAAGAAAAAGCTTAGAAAATTGAGGGCCATTGAAGCGAGAGGCGGAGCTAAGAGACCTAGGTCTTCTGATGCAACGCCCTCACCCAATGTGCCAATTCATACAGGAAAGAAGCCCAGGGAGGATGATGTTCCTGGGAGGAAAGCCCAATCCAAGGAAGTGGTTCCCCTAGTGGGGATAGCGGAACTGGAGAGTAGGATCCAACTGGGAGCCTCCAATCTGGAGTTTCTTTTGCAGGTGCTGCAAAGTCAATCAAGATTGCCATCGTCCGGAAGGACTTTCCTTTGGACAGGCTTTCTCTGTAAGACTCTGATGAAATACTGAAAGAGATCTTAGCGCAGACTGACACAATCCCTGGTGGTGAAAGGATGTCTGAGATCTATAGTAACTACCTTCTCAGAGGAGCGTTGGTACTGCAGTGTAATGCGTACACTGTAGAGTGGATTAAAGGCCACTTTAATAACAGATCCTTGGGAGTGCTCATGCTTAAAGTCTTAAGTGCTGATGAGCTACCGAAGCCTGTGAAGGTGGCCTTCAAGACTAGAGAGCAATTCTCTGATCTAAGTACCTTTTTGCGGCATCTTCAGAGACTAAACCCAGGGTTGAAATCTATGAGGTGGAGCCTGAAGACGTGGTAGATATTGTGAGGACCAACTTTTGTGCACTCACTGGAGTGGATTGTGGTGTTTTTAAAATTATCCACAATCCTAACAAGAAAAAGGCAGTAGAGGCTCCAACAACATTGGACCTTTCTGTAGAACCTGATGTTCAAGAGGACATGGAACAGGAGGATGAACCTTGGAAGGCTAATTCCCCTGATTCCAAGGTAAGTTCAATTGGGGCTCTTGATTTTTCAGAGCTTAGGTTGGACTTGGGGGTCAGACGTAACCTTACAACCTGACTCACCAGCCTCTATGCTTGGTATTGATGAAGCAATAGAGCTGTTAAAGGAAGAT